ACAACACAGAATATTACAATTTTATATAATAAAATAATAGAAATTACATATATAATACAACAGTACACATACAAACAAATTTTAGAAAATTACATATAAAATACCACTTGTTATATATGTAATACTTAAATGTTTATGTAATTTGTTTTAATTTATGTTAAGTTTGTTTAATGTATTTTTATTTTGTGTGAGCTTTATTTAATGTATTTTCCTATTTGTGTAAATTTTATTTTAATGTTATGTAATATTTGTTCTATTTTATTTTATTTTGGTGTACTTAACTTATTCTAAATAAAGTTAATAGATATATTTGTAAAAAAAAAAATTGTAAGGACTAAAAAATGAATAGTAGTTTGAGCTTTTGAATAGTAAAAATTCAAATTTGAAGTGTCAATATTCAAAACCTTAAATTTGAAGATTTGAGATTCAGTTGAAATGACAAAAATCTCAACATTTGAGGATTTGAGGTTGGGTTGGAGATGTTCTTAGGCACCGCATACATAGAAAACATTATTAGATAGTCATTATAATTTAACTTACATCCATTCTGACAAATATCTTTTCTATAGTCCCAATTCCTTAGGCATCATTCGTCAACTAATATAAAGTATCAATAATGAGAATGACTTTGAGATATGAACATATATGAAATGGGAATGTTTATCCTTTGTTAACACTTTAACCTACTAATGAATACATTTTCTGTTTTCCCAAATCTTAGCATCCATGGTGCAGTCAACATTTAAAATATGATTTACGGTATCATACACCTTTTGTCTTTCTTTTGCATCATAAGACACATACTGTCTGAGGGACACTTCACTGCTTTCAAGACACATTATAGACGTTTATGCCCTCTAAAGGTGAAAAACCATTTGGGTTTGGTTTAAATAAGTAAAGTAACTTGTATTTAGATAACTAAGTTATATCATTTATTAGTTATAAGTCTAAATATCTACGATAAATCAACAAAATTTTAGTTTAGTGTGTTTTTTATTCATTTTATATTATCCATTCCAAAACATAAAACATGTAGACGTAGATATGGTAAATGGATGTTTTTTATTTTATTAAAGTGCATGGATATTAAAATTATGGATGGAAAAAATGTGGACAGAACTTAAAAGATGTGGACATGGATAGCATTGTGGACACATTTTTTTCACAATACAATTTGTCGCATCCATATCCATCACAAAATTGATTTATGATTGTTGTTTTGAAAAATTGATGTCTTTAGTATGAAACCAAACCATAAGCAAACATTAGACAAGGAAAACGAAGAGAGAGGGAGAGAGCAAACGAGTTCATTACCGAGTTCGATGGCAACATGACAGAAAACTTCTCTGTGACCATAGTGGCTTCCCTTTTTCAATCCCAACACATCCATTTAAAACGACAATCTGGCTAAGAGACAATGGCCTCAAAACAGAAGTCAACATAAATAAAAAACAATGGAGATTGGGATTCAATTGAGATAAGGGTTTAGCAAAGTTCATCTTCTTCTTCTCCATAGATTGGTTTCTTGTTCTCCATAACTGGAACTCTAAACAGAGACCAGACCAGATTCAAGAAAGATCAAACCTTTAGAATCCAGTCCAGAGCTCCGACATGTGAATCCTAGCTCCGACGAAGATGGCGACCGGGTGAGTGAACTCAAACTCTGACAGAGATGACGATGGGGTGAGTGAGATTCTGGTTGAAGAACGTGGATGTGGTTGTCGTCTAATGGAGTGACAACAGCACATGAAAACATTCACCAGGATAATGTTTGATAATTGTATAATATAACCTAGAACACAACTATATACATAATGTATTAAGGAACATACATACCAATTATTTGTATATTATTGTATTTCAATTTACATTCGTGTGCATTCTATCGAAAAACTTAAGCATATATCTCATTCGTAAGATATAGTTGATTTATATTTCTAACTCAGCATTTTGATATAATGCTTTTTGTATATCAAACAAAACTATATGCATAGTCAAAACTAAATGTGCTTTATAATCGTTATTTTATCTTTTATGTAAAGAATTACCTTTTCTCAAGACAGGTGATAATTAAAATTTGTTTTCTATGGGCAAACAACATATCACAACGTACTTATTGTATATTTCATCTTAAGTGTAAAAGATAGTGCAATATTCTAGATTAGGTAGTGAATTTATGCTTTCAAAAATACACAATATATTTAAAAATAAATCTGTCAGTATATAATATTTAAAAATGGAACAATGATCTTAAATTTACTAAGTAGATCATTCTAAATTGATCTGTTGCACAACCATATCTATTTCATAATGTGACATACGCTTAGAAACAGAGAAAATAGCTTCTTTTATCAGTAACTGTTTGCTTAATTTTGTAGTGTAACAATAAAAATATCTGCTTAGTTTTACATTTAAGTTACAAAAATTTAACTATATATTTCATTCCATGCAGGGCACGGATCTTTACCTAGTAGCACAATATAAATCAAACATTAACTCAAGAATTTAAAAGTAAATAATGATACTCTTAACTCAAATCTAATCATTCATACCACATGTCATCAATCAAACCCTATATATGAGTTATAACTATCACATGGTAGAAGAAACAAAGGTAAGGTTACATTCAGGTACGTTCAACATAGAAATTGCAACATGCTATCCATTACTACTCACAGTGATATGCCTGAGGTAAGTGGGGCTCAAGACAAATTTTAATAGAATAATATTTTAAAATTTCTTTTTATTTATAAAAAGTCTAATATCTTTTATCAGTAATTCTAAATGACAAAACAATTCCAAAACTGGGAATAACCGAATTTGAGTATCATGTGCACATATATTCTTCAAGAAACTATTACACTACCAGAATTTTTAAGAGTTGGAGGCCCTAAAATATTTATATTTAAAAGGGGCCTAAGGCAAATGCCATTTTCTGATACATGGTATGCACGGTTCTGACTACTCATCATACTATTATTTGGTAATTAAATTTGTTTAGTTGTCATATTCTCCATAGTTTTAGGTAATTTTGCTTATTTGTCATGTTTCTAGGATTTTGTCTAATGATTACCTAATACACTTAATAATTAGTTAGCATATTCGCTATGATTTTAGATAATTTTGATTATTTGTCATATTTTTAGGATTTCACCTAATGATTAATTACTACACTTAACAAATGATGAGATTTATTAATATATTATTAACCATAAACTAAAAATTAATTAATGTATAATTAACCATTAAATAGAAATAAATTTATTTGATTAGAGGATTATTAAATATCTAAATATAGTTTGTATTAATTAACCATAAATTAAAATCAAATTAATATATGATTAACCAGAAATTAAAAACGAATTACATTGAGTTGATAGTAAATATGCTTAGTTTTCATAGTCTCCATGATTTTTTGTAATTTTTCTTATTTTAATTTATTAGGATTTTGACTAATGATTAATTAGTACACTTAATAAATTATTAGATTTACTAGTATATTATTAAAAAAAACTAAAACAAATTATAATATAATTAACCATAAATTAGAAAGAAATTCTTTGATTAGATGATTATCATTATCTAAAAATATAGTTTGTATTACTAACCATAAACTAAATCAAATTAATATATAATCAGCCATAAATTAAAAACAAATTCCATTAATATGATAATTAACATTATCTAAAGATAATGTATATTATATTGTAAATTCTTAATTAACATTAATGAATAATTAGATATTTTAATATATAATTAACCATAAATGAAAAATAAATTTCATTGATTTGATAATTATCATTGTATAAAAATATTTTTGTTGTGTTATTCAAAGAAAATATTTTATATAATAAATCCCTATATATATGTTTAATATAATAATGTTCTCAGATTTATTTTACGCAATCAAAAATAATTTTATTATATTTAAAAACTTTGTCATATAAAAGTAGTTTAATATTCAATTAATTACTAAATATTTCAAAAGCATTAGTGTTTTAAGCTTAAGTTACGTGATAAAAAGTATATATATTACCATACAAAATTGTATACATAGAAAAGGTTATTGTTTAATTTTTCTTAAATATTTATATATATAGTAATATTTTAATTATATTTGAACTGATAATGTATTTATTTAAAATATTTGAAAATTATTATGCCCGCATGTGCGGTACAAAACCTAGTTTTAATATATTTTAAATCATTATACGATTATAAAATGTGAACTATCATATATACTAGAGAGCCCTATATACTATGTATGTTAATACAATTAATGAATTAGGAGAATTTAATAATAGCTTTTTTAAAATGAGTTAAAATCTCAATAACCATATAAAATTACATAAGATAATCAGCTGACTAATTTGATAGTCATTTTTTTAACCTACGAGATTTGACAATTCTAGTTTGGAAATTGCAAATACAGACTTAAGATCAGCTTCCTATTTCAATAAACTAGGGGTTGGCTCCTCGCAAGCGTTTGATCTTTAATTTCTGTTGAAATATTGAACCCCCGGATTACATTTGCACAATTCTTTGTGTTAGGCATGTCCTTCTGCTGACTCTTCCGTAATGAGGGTGAACGTGTCCCTATTGTGTGATCCTTTGTAACGATTGAAATTTGTGTTTTTTCTTATAAATTTTTAAAACTTGACGACAACTTTCCAAATGTATATATTGTGTTTAGGGTTCAGCACAACCAGCTTTGGCGAAAGACTGCAGCACATAAAATTTTACAAACCGTGAAGCTATAAGCTCACCCTAGAAGAGATCTATGCTCTGCTCAAGTTTCAGACACGAAACTAATCGTTGAAGCCCATAAACACATACTCAGACATATAGTAATGCGGCCTGAGTAGCCAAGGAAAGAGTAGCTTGGAAATCATGTGAAAAACAAAGGGAAAGTAATATCATATGCAGGTGTTAAAGTTGTGTTTGGTATGTTTCCACAGTATTGGTTATCAAAGACAAACTTATATGTCCATTGGTGATGACTATGAGGATCTTCGTACAATAATTTGGCATGAGCTAGAGAGTCTCTGAAATTTAAGGAGTTCTATCAAGATGTCAGATTCTCCTTTCTTTGGAGAATCATGCAAACTTAATGATAGTTTCTGGAGGTTTGGTGAGCTCTCGAGGAAGTAACCCACTAGTTCCATCTCCAACACCTTCCCTTTCAATGGCCTTTCTATGTCAACATACTCTAGAGATGATAACAGATTCCAAGGCCTAGCAATAACAGTAAGGTCCACCATATGGTGATTATCAGTAGTTCCCTGCACGTACAACAAAACAAAGACACAAGCTTAAGAATCAGATACTCTCAAGTTCATGAGTTTGTTAGATAATCCTCACCACGAAAAGAGTTTTTACATTCGGACAGACTTCAAGAAAGACTGGCAATATCTCCCACAAGTAGCTCTCGAACCTGACACGCAAGGTATATAGGTTACGAAATACCGGTAGTTGTACATATCTTGAGTAATCATATATGACCTACAAGAACAACAACAAAAAAGTATTAGTGTTAATAAATGAAGTATCACATCGATACTTGGAGAACAATTAACTAACATTCTCTCAAATTCATCCATGTTTTCTTTTAAAAAAATGTCTCAATAACTTATTTTTTAGTATGCTTTTTGAGAAATATATATTTTTGTACAACTACAGGTACTTTTTTTTTATTTGTATAACTTTCAGTGTATTTTTGTTAGATAATCGAAGAAATATAATTGTGGTTACTGAATTTTGATTAGTTATGTGAGAAATCGTTAATAACAGAAAATAAGATATCTTATATATTAAAACAGAAGTCATGACTTGACTTCATGTGTGATATTTTAAATTTTGGACTAAAACAGAAGTCATGACTTGACTTCATGTGTGATATTTTAAATTTTGGACTACTACTAAAAAGTCATGTTACATTAACTTTCTAATAATCTTATCATTATTATATCTTATGAAAAATTATATATATAATAACAAAGATATGCTTAACAATTTGGTTTTGGTAAATTACCCCACACCTTCCAACTTAGTCACGCAAAATATGTCAATAGATATAAGTTTAGGAATCTTCTATTATTTATAAGGAAATATGTCAATAATAGTTAAATGCATCCACAATATATTAACAAAAATTACAGATTCGTAACATGGAATATTTATATACCCTATAAATTTTTAAAATTATATTGTTTCAAAAAAAAAGAAATTGTTTAAAAATTTATGAAGCTATAAGTTTAGTGTTTAGCAAAAAAAATTTCGAAGTTTATATTATATTTACAAACTAGGATAAGACCCGCGCCTTGCGCGGAATGAAGCTATTTTTTATATTATGTTTTAGAAAATGAAACAATTAGTTCGGTTTCATTCGGATTAGAGGTGTTCAATCCGGATATCAAGTTTCGGTTCGGTTCGATTTTTTGGTATTTCGATTTTTAAAATATAACTACTATTCTAAATCTATATGTACTTAAGTTTGATTTGCTTTATATACCATCGATTTTCAGTTTATTCAGTTTTATACCAAAAAACATAATTATTTAGTTTGAGATTATATTATATACTATACAAATATATAATATAATCATATTTAGAGTCATATTGTCACAGAGTCAGTTATTAAAAAAATATTATATATTTAAATAAAAGAATAAAAAACAAAAAAGCTTCTATCATCTAATAAAATAATCAAATCTAGAATTAATATCAAAACACTAAATTTTGAAAATAAAAATAAAAAGCAAAACAGAAGCATGAAAGAAAAGTTTTTATATTCTTCAATATTTAGTGTTCATCAAACCAATATGTCTTCGATTGAACACAACTCTGTTTGTTTAAAGATAAAAAAAGTTGTAAAGAATTTCAATTAATTGTTGTCCATCAAATTTATAATCTTTACTTCAATTTAGTTATTGTTAAAAAGGCGAAAAAATCAAAATAAGAAGTCTCAGTTGTAATAAATTGTTAGTTATTTACAAATTATAATTATAGTTCAACTCATGTAACAAATAGATATTCATGTGTCGTTATAAATATATACATATTTACATGTTTCAGTTTAATCGGTTATAAATCAAACCATATCCAAATCCTATGGTTTTTATAAAATCACATCCATTCGATTTGTATGGTATATACCAAAAATAACCATATTATCGATTGTTTAATATCTTTTAAAAATTAAAAATTAAAAAAAAAAGAACTAAGATATTTAAATCATTGATAACAAAAAATTTCAATGTGAAAAATTTAATAAGTTTATAATTTATAAATGTTCTTGAAAATTTATTGAAATTTTTGAAATTAAAATATTTATGTAATCTTATATGGTATATAGTTTAATCTGTATATATATTTGTTTTATTATTGAATGATACTTTTTACTTATATGGTTTTAAAATCATGTATATCTTTTTATAATAAAAATGTTAAACTATTGATCATTAATTTTTAACATAATAATTTTAATAGTTTTAGTTATTTATTCTCATTTTTTAATTCAAAATATCACCTATAGGAAAAAATCTAAAGTTTAATTTAATAACTAATTTGATTGTTTAATTTATTTTAATAATATAAAATTAAAGAAAAATGATAGAGGATATATAAACTGTAAATATTTATTATATAATCATTAATGGTAATTCCGTAGGTTTTATTTATGGAAAGAAAATAAAATAGTAATTATATCTAGGGAAACAATCATAAATGCTTCTATCCTAAATGTCATATCAATCATATCATATATATTAGTCATTTATGGTAATTCCGTAGGTTTTATTTATGGAAAGAAAATAAAATAGTAATTATGTCTAGGGAAACAATCATAAATGCTTCTATCATAAATGTCATATCATATCATTATATCATATAATTTGACCAACGAATGTATCTAGCGACATATAAAAATCGAATGTGGACCTACTTATTTTTCAATTGAATGTAATTGACTACCTAATTGAATGACACCTAAGCATGTAGTCTTTTTTAATTATTACAAAATTGAGGTTATAATTTTTCAAATGTTTCTCCTTTAATATATAAGGGATTAAAGTATACTAATATTTAATCAAGCTCTATTTATATTACTTTATCTAAAAATGAAATACTAATCTAATAAACAATAAAATATAGAAGAAGAAACAAACACATGTTTGAAAAACATGTATAATATAGAAAATTTAAAACAATCTATTTGATTAAAACACGTATTATATAATATTATTATGTTTGAAAACATTTACTATACATATCATAAATATGTAATTACTATAATATATACCAATTTACAAGTGAATATATAGCTAACTATAAACGAGAACAAACACCCGCGCGGTTGCGCGGGTTAAAATCTAGTTTATAGTTAAAATTTAAAGTGTTTTTGTAATATATGTGAAAACTTAAGAACATATATTTTTTGAAACAGTGAGAAATATACAAATGATATTTAATTAGTTAGAAATTAAGAACAATTAATATGCTCATAGCAACTCAAAAATTAAAACATATATGTATATACCTCAAGAGTATTTGAGGAGATGTCTAGATCCTTGACCTTAGAGATCCCGACGAGAAAGTCACGAACCATCTCTCTCTTTTGTACTTCATTTGCAACTCTTAGCATCCTTTCAGTAGTCAAATTAAACACTGTATCTATAGCAGCTTCTACAAGGGCAGGCTGGTTTTTTATAATGAAATTAAACTCGTAGTTCCACCATCATTGATCGTCAGATATTTAAGCGTGGGAGCATCAATTTCAACTATACAATCTTTTTCATAATTATCATCTGTATCCCAAGTATGTGTGAAGCTCAATAGAGACTGGGAATGCACACGTAAAATTTGCATTCCATCACCGTATATCCTATCAATACTAACGTTTTCAAGAACTGGGCATTGTGAGATTAACTTCTCTAATGGACATTGGTTGGTATACTCAACGACGATTAAAACAATATTTTTGAGAGAAGGTAATGAAACACGCTCGAGATTAGGTAAGCTCATTCCATCGAGCCTTAGGGACACCAAGCTACTACAAGTGTAAATTGTTGGATTCATCATGGGATCCCAATCAAATGAATCGTCCGAAATATCGAGATGTTCAACTTTAAGCCTAGTAGAAGTGTCGACCCAGCGATTGACAAGACCAGGCTCTACAACATAAAAAGAATTGTACGCTAACTTAAACCGGTGTATGGACGAACCGCAGTTGCGTTCAAGAAAGTTGTTGACAAAGCTCACGAATGTTCCATATATATTGAAATCCTTGGCGTCCAAGTCCAGACCAGGTACGTCTTTCCAGAGAGTTTTCCATCTAGTGGACAACACACTAGTCTTAACGACATCTTTGGTCGGAAGATTTAAGAATATATTGAATATCAAGCATTCTGGCAAACTGCTTAGCCTATCAACTTCACTCGATGGGATGGTGGAACGAAAACGTTTCACTCTGGCTCCATCCATGAATGTAAACATCAAATCCAAAAGTAGATGAGAATAAGTAAGGGCTTCTAGATTGGCTATAGATGCAAGACATATTATGAAGGATTTATTTCTACACGTTTCTAATCTTGGAGATGATGAAATTTTCTTTACCAAAATACACATATATATGCTAGTGGGTGATCTGTGCTTCCCGCGAAATTTGGTATTCTTTGCGGTTTAAAATCTAGTATAATACTTTTTCATTTTTAAAAAGATTTTTTTTGTTCTAAAAGGTAACTTTTAACAGATTTTTCTTTTGATCTTATAAATATTTTTATACAATTCTATTAATTTAGAGTAATTACTTTACAGAATATCTACTGAATATCATTAATTTTATTAAATTAATATTGATTTAAACTTTGGAGATATTTTTAATTTATTTATAAAAAATATACCTTTACGAACAAACATCTTTTATATATATGAACACTGAGAGATTTACCTTACAAAAATAGTCATTTAGATTTGTATGCATTCTTGTAAAAGTGTATAGTTTGTAAGTAATTACATGTTTATAATAAAACATTGATTTGTTTCTTAATATGTGTATATGAGATATACACATGAGTCATATTATATATCATTAATTTTTACTTAATATATCATTAATGTTTACTTAATATGTGTATATGAGATATATACATTTTTGAGTAGGTTTTAGTAGCAACTTCATGGCTTATAATTAACATTTTCTATAATCAATTTATAAAGTTATGAATACAATTTTTTTTTCTATTTCTAGAGATACTTGTCCTAAAATAAAGAAAAATGCTTGATTTTGTTGTATATACATTAACTAATTTTGATATTCAACATTTATATTGGTTCTATTATATTATTTTGCGTTTATAAAATATGTTTCCTAAAATTTAAATGTGGTTTTAGATATACTTTTACTAATCTATAAATTAATGATGTTGAGACTATGATACTTTATTAACTTATGGAGTTATTAATTTACAGATTTTTTTTTTATTTTTTAAAAAAATTATATTTTCTATTTCTTTAAATATTGAAAAACTATTTTAATTTCACGAAATTATATATTGTTTAAAATTTTTAATTTGAATTTTGGCTATTAGAACTAATTATTTGA